TGGTTGAATGGGGCCAGCTCCAATGATCTGGAGATGGGCAGGGGCCATGAGATGGGAGGACGCTGGTATTCACATCACCACTCACTAAACACCCAGTTAGATTTCATGAAAATGATAACTAAACTGCCATTGTGCTAGGCCTTTCGGGACTTGGGGCTTGTCTGTTACAGCAGCTAGGATTAACTAATGCACTTGTTACTCTGGAATGAGCCAGGCAGAGAGAAAAGCATATGCAGGGGCACCTGGGCAGCTCAGATGGTTGGGCGTCTGCCTTCGGCTCAGGTCATGATCCCAGGGTCCTGAGATCGAGCCCCGCATCGGGCTCCTTGCTCAGCGGGAAGCCTCCTTCTCCCTCTCCTTCTGCTGCTCCCTCTGCTTGTGCTCTCTCGCTCTCTCTGTCAAATAAATAAATAAATAAAATCTTAAAAAAAAAAAAAAAAAGAAAAGCATGTGCAAAGACCCAGGGCAATTGAGAAACTAACAAATGTTCAGCTTGGCTGGAACGTCCAGTATGTGTGTACGTCAGAGGCTGGGTGTGCAGGGGAGACTAGAAGCACAGCCAGAAAAGGGGCAGGGGTAGGCAGGAGATGAAGGGTCTCAGGGAAGCATGCTAAGGAATCTGGCCTGGATCCTGTGGGCAGTGGGGAACCCTGGAAAGTCTTCAGCAGAGAAGTGAGGAGACAGGATTCCCATCAGGCTGCTAGATGAAAAATGAACAGTAGGGATGGGGAAGGACTGGGAGAAGCCAGCAGACCTTGACAGTGGCTGTTATAGCTGCTAGCCGTGAAATGACCTGGACCAAGGAGAAGGCTGGGAATGAACTGGAACCATCTGCAGGCCATGGCATAGACAACGTTTGGTGAACGATAGGATGTGGGGGAGGGGAGGGAGGAACCCCTGTTGGGGTGACTAGGGGTGGAGCTGGCTGGGGGTGGAGCTGGTCCCTGAGTGGGGGAGCCTAAGAAGGGGTACGTTTAGTATTGGGGTTGGATGGGCAATGTCAATTTCCATTTAGGACAAGCTGAGTCTGAGCGATGTGTGGGATGCTTGTAGAATATGCAAAGAGCAATAAGATCCCTTACCTGGAGCACAAGAGGGAGATCTCAGGGGAAAGAGATTGGGAGCCATGGGCACAGAGGTGGGAACTCAGAGAAGCAAATGGAATCCACTAGAGAAAGGGGGAGGAAGGTGAAGGGTCCTGCCGGGAGGGCAAGAGTCCCCCAAGGAGTTAAAGATAAAGAGTCTCTAAAGCCATTGGCTGTAGAACATTCTGTGGAACACTGCTCCCCATGAACCATTCCCTGACTGATGGGCATCCATGCTGTTTGCCCAGTGCACACACATAGGAACAGGGTTCTGGAAGACAAGGTGAAGGGGTGAAGGTGTCCTAGGGCTGTTTCTTGTAGCTGGAAGGGAATCTCATGGGGACCCTAGAGGAGACTTTAAAAGTAGAGCAACAAGACTCCCCCTACAGTTCTCGGACTGCATACTTGACAGCAACTATTACAGTTCTAAAGGTGCCCATCCTCAGACCCGGCAATTCTACCTGTGCTCATTTGTTCACAGAAGACAATCTAACGGGAGATCCGAGGTGGGTGCAAAAGTTTAGCAAAGGGGAAAGACAGAAACAATTTAAATGTCCCACGATAGGGGATGGTTAAAAATATTACGTGACATTCACTCCATGGTTTATTATGTACTCATTTAAATGATGTCCATAATATATAATGAAGTGAAAAAATATAGACACACACATATGATTTTGCTTTACGAAGAGTCTGTATTACTTTGGAAAAGAATTAAAATGAAAAATAAAGATATTTCCATTTTTGAAAACCTATAGTCTGGCTGGAGGAGGAGAGAGAAGTGGCTAGTCGGAACCATACCCCGCCCTTGCTGTGCGACCACAGCCCGCTCCGAGCCTCAGTGTCCTAGAGTGGGGAAGAAGCAGCAGGGGTCCGGGGCAGAGAAGCTGGGAAGTGTGGGCTGCACAGTTAAAGGTGCAGATGGGAAAGATTGGCCCTCCACCCAGGAGCCCTGGACAGTGCCCTGCAAGGACCCAGAAGCCTCCTCACTCTGCCCCTCTGGAGTGGGGCGCTGGAGTAGAGATGGGGAGGATCACCCAGAGAGGGACTTCAGCTGAATCCCAACTTGCTGGTTCATAGGACCCCCCCCCCCAAACTGTCAGCCCTGACGTCTTGGCCCTACTGCCTGCCCCCCTGGGCTGGGGGCATGGCGGCCAGCTAGGTACCAGGTCAGGCAGCCGAATGAAAGAGGGCAATGTTCTTTGACGATTCAGAAGGCACTTTCTGATCTCGCAGGGTCACCTCTCTACCATTTCAAATGGCAACCATGCCTGGGACCCCTACAGACTTCCCAGGGTCACCTGCTAGCCACAGGATGGGTGGGGACACGAGGCTCAGAAACTAGTGAAGGGCCAATTGACAAAGTCAGAACTACAAGCAAGCTCTTCCTGCTATACGGCCTTGTCTGGGCAAAGTCACCATCAAAGCTAAGTTGCCCCAAAGTAGCTTCAGAGGGGCAAAACACAGGTTCGCCAGGAAGTCAGTGGTTTTTTTTTTTATTAACTCCCAATTACTGAGAATACATATCATTCGTTGTACCTTCTAGCATGACTGAAATGTTTTTTAAAGGAATGTCATACACTTGCTTGCATACAAATATGTAACAGAATAAAGGTTTTAAAAAGGTGCTGAACACCTGTTATGCACAATGTCCTGGATCCGCCCACCTGCCTCTCCCCTCCTGGAGAGGCTGAGATGCTCTGGCTACGAATTCTGACGCCCCCAGTCCCCAGCTGGGCGATCTTGGGGAGGTGACTTCCCCTCTCTGAGCCTCAGCTTCTTAACAGTGGGAATATTTTGCCCCTCTCACGTGCTTGCTATGAGGATCAAAAGGAATGAGGCGTGCAGAGCCCTTTGCTCATACCTCAGATTATTATCATGACCTTTCTAGACCCACTTGGCAGGAGAAACAGGACCCACCAGTGCAGACTCCTGAAAGGCCACCCTCCTCATCCAAACCCCCATATTTCCCATGCTCCAGACCCGAGTTCCCTCACCCCCAGATTTCACGTCGGGGAAAACTGAGGCACAGATAGGAAAGGACTTGTCTAAAGTCCCATGACAAGTCAGGGCACTGCAGGGCACAGGTCTGGGACTGGCCAAGCCACCTGGAACAGGCAGGTGGGAAAGAAGGTATCATCTGGGACCCCGGGTCTTCCCAACCATCAATCCTCACCTGGTGATTCTTCCAGCCTCCAGCCCACTGTTCCCCACGGGCACCTCTGCTCACTCCTGCCCTTCCTGTTAGGTCCTGTCGCTCATAAAAGGGGTTGTTCTTCACCATATTCCTCACCCAGGCCAAATGAAGCAAGAAGCCCGTCACAAGCCTACTGCCATGCCTGGAATTCTACCATCTGTGCCTCATTCGCCTAGGTTAATCATTGCCTCTCCCCAGGGTGACACACTCAGTCCCTCAGAGCCCAGAGTGGGGACTGTCAAGGAAACACTCCTTTCTTGCTGGGTGACAAGAGGGCATCCACCCCATGCTCTCAAACAGCAGACCCATGCCTACTGGACAAGGGGTTACACAGGAAGCAGGCAGGCTCCTTTGTCCACAGGGAGCTTCCTTCAGGCAGGGCTTGCCCTGAGTGAGAAGCAGGGAATGAAGCAGCCCGAGGTGGCAGCTGGGAACAGGGCTCTGTTGTCTCTGCTCCCAGAGTAGCAGCCTGCCCACCCCCCGAGTGTCAGCCAGAGCTGGGAGCTAGGAAGGCAAGGGGGGGAGGGGTCCTGAGCTAGGGGTTTGGGCAGCACAGGCAGATCCAAGAGCCTAGGACCCCAGAGCAGCAGAGAGGTCTTGAGCGGGGCTGCAGTCCTGAGATGTGGGCTGGGACAAGACTCCTGTGATTCGTAGTCAACTCAGCCACTTCTGAACTATGTGTGACCTTGGGCAAGTCACTGAATCACCCTGAGCCTCAGTTTCCCCCTTAGGATAACGGGAATGCCCTCCTTTGCAGGCACTGTAGGGGCTGCTCTGGTCCAGGCTTGCCCGTGGCCTTCCCTCTCTGGGCCTCAGATCAACCCTCTTGGTAAAGGAAGAAGTTGGATTCTCCCAACTGGACTGTCCTCCTGAGGATTTTCATGGCACCTGTCACCTTGGCAACCCAGATGATCAGGTGTCAGGCCTGTGCCCTCTCTCTCTCCCACCCTTTCTCCCTCCCTCCCTCTCACTTGGTGTGGGTTACTGCAGCCAGATGTGTGATCATCACCTCTCCTGCTCTAGGCAGGTGGGAAGGGGGGCCTTACTGGGAAAAGACCACAGTCTTGCTCTGTGCTGTGACCAAGTACCGGCTTGATAATGATGGGGCAGACCAAGCTGGACCTCCTCCTGGACACTGGTCCTGGAAACAACCGGCTGGATCCTATGGGCCCTTCCTGGATATCAGGGCTTGTTCCAATTCCACAAGCTTCTCTTTGGTGGCTTTGCCCCCTCTGTGGTATAGGACCAGGCCTTCCCCAAGCAGAGGGGATCCATACCCTCCCCCTGACCCCCAGCCCCTGGTCCGATGGCCCCCCACCCCACCCCTTCTCGAAAGCGCTGGTGGGAAGAGGGGAGATCCCTGCCCTTCCTCCCCCTGGGCTCAGGCTGCTGTGTCCAAGATTAATCATTAATGGACTTCCAGCTCCAGTCCAGCTCCAGCCCCACCCACCCATGTCTGAGGACTGGGAAAAACCTGGAAAGGGGGCTATGAGGAAGAAACCAAGGACAGGGCACACACCAATGTGGCCCCCCCCCCCCAGCTGCCCACCCTCTGTCAGCCCGCAGGGCACTCGAACCTGGAGCGGTTGCTGCACTCCTGCACCACTCAGGTCTGAGGCGCTGACTCCCGCGGTCCCAGTTTGGAGGTCTGGGTAGTGCCGGCTACAGCCCCAGGCAGGGCACAAGCAGGCAGTGGGTGCTGGGCCCCCAGGACTTACCTTCGCCCCGTTCTCCTCGGGCCTGGCGTGGCTGTTTCGGTCCCGGGCCGCGCCACCCGGGCGCTCACTAGGCGGCGGGGCGTACCCGCCCGGGCCCCCGACTCCACCGGGCCTGGACCATGCTCCCGCCGCCGCCACACTCACTGCGGCCAGGTGCGGCCGCCAGCCTGGCCCGTCCCCCGGTGCTGCGGCCAATAGGCGGCCTGGCCCCGGCCCCCTCCCAGCCCCTCCGCGCTCGCCCGGGACGCACAGAAGCCGCATTCAGCGTACCCGAGCGCAGCGCAGCGCCCCCGCCGCCGGCTCAACAAGGCGCGTTTGTCTCGGATGCGCCAACGGGGCCATTGTCCCACCGCTGGACCCTGAGGCTCGGCTGAGCTCCCAGCCCCGGAAGGGGATTCGAGGGTGCCTGGGAAACGGGGTGGCGTGGTGGTGGTGGTGAGGGCAGCTGAGCTCTGGGCAAAGGGAGGTGGCTAGACTAGTTGCTGAACTTTTATTAGGGGCGCTGGGGCCCTGAATACCCAATGTGAGGTATGGCCTCCTGCTCGGGAGTCAGTGCAAGCTGGGGACATACATTTTTGGGGTCTAAACTGTGGATGAGAGGGGTGCAGGGGGGTGCCAAGATCCCCTGAGGGAAGCTCAGGCAAGGGACCCATCTCCAACCAGTCATGCCACTAGGAGGTCTCCACTGACCCCACCTCTCCAGGGTGTCCATAAGGGCTGAGCATAGCACCATCAGGATGCAGGTGCCCCATCCATGATCCACCTTCTTTCAGTGCCCAACTTCCCTCCTCACTGCAGAGGAGGACCAAGGATGAGAACTAATGCCTGCCTGGGCTGGGAATGTGCAGCTCCAGCTGTGGGAATTGCAAAACCTGCCGGCCACTCAGTGGGCCACGGGCTGCGTCAGAGCCCCGCTGCCCCCGCCAGTACTGGGCGACTCTGGAATGGGGAAAATTCCACATCCGTATGGCTGCCAGGGATTTTTCGGGATCCGATTGGCTTGCTCTCCAGCCTTGCCCTAGCACCCCTGCCATGGCCCTGGGATGCACACGCATCCAGGCAGGCCCAAGTCATTCCCTAGGGTGGCAGGCTTTGGCTCCAAAGGCCCTGATCCCATCCCTGCCTCTGGAAACACATCCACACCCCCCACCCCCACGAGCATGCCAGAGTATAACAGCCCTCTCCACCCCCTGCAAGGCCCGGCCGAGACAGGGGCCCTGGGTCCTCTGGTCCCTCTGTCAGAGCCCGCCCAAACTCTCCTCCCACCCCATCCCCCCCTCCCCAGGGTGGGCCTGCAGCCACTGCCCAAAAAACTTCTACAGAGCCTGGGCACAGTGAGGGGAAGAGGGCCAAGGCCCTCAGGTGCCTAGATTGGGGATATATGAAGCCCAGTTCCAAACCCACAATCTGCCACCCTGGCTTCTGCTCCTGACAGCCCTCAGCCCCCCAAGAGGGGGCAATTCAGAAATTCCCTGCCTGATCTAGGAGAGGCTGAGTGACCATCCCGAGCCCTGGCTTCTGGCCCTGGCCCTGCTGTGAGGCTCTGGCCGTCTGGGTAAAGGCATGTCTCTCCAGGTTTCGGCAAGGGCACTGGTAGGGTCAGGCGGGAAGCTGCAAGGATGGCCCAGCAAGGGTCACAGGTCAGACTGCATGCAACACCCACAGTGGGGGTTACCGGGTGGCTCTGCCAAGGAGCCTACAAGGTAAAGCTGGTACCCGCAACTCAGGCCCCACAGATCTATCAGGTGCTGGCTTCCACGTTCTGGGCTCACTCTAGCAGCAAGTTATGACAATCACAGTTGGTATATACAGAGTACCTTACTTACTAGACACTTGACACTACTGAGTCCACATAACATTATCACTGAACCCTCCTCCCCCGCCCCCTGCCCCCACCCCCCAGAGAGGCTCCAGAATTTCTACCCTTAATTTACACAGGAGGAAGCACCATTCACAGAGGAAAAATACCTGGGCTGGAACGTGAGCCAAGGGCAGACTCCACTTCACTAGGCGGCCCTTCTCCAATCCCACAAAGGCTCATGAAATAGAATTCAACTGGTTCTAAAACTCCAGCTGTTTAATAACAAATGCTTCCTCACCCTCACCCCATCACAGCAGCAGGAGAATCACAGGTCCAACCATGGGGGGAAGGGGGCGCTGCAGAAAGCCAGGGGAAACGGAAGCAGCCGGTGAGGGGCTTGGTCAGGCCCCTACCCTTGATGTCACTGACTCCTGGGAGCATCAAGTTGGGCTGGGCACAGAGGCCTCTCCTCTGCCCAGCCACCAGCAGGGAGCTCCATCCAACGGAGGCTGGGGCTCCAGCCAGAGAGCGTGAGAGGAAGCCAGGGCCGGCAGGGGGAGGAAGGGGATGAAAACAGAAGAGACTGGTGTGCCACCAAGCCTGGGTCCTCTGGCCTGCCTGTGCCAAGTCCAACTGCCAGAGTGGGGCTCGCCCATCAAGAGGCTGCCACCACTCACACTGGCCTGGCCTTCTTGGCCTTCTTCTGAGACCTCACAGCCTCATCGTGGGCTTTCCGCTTCTCTGCCAGTTTGTTGGCCTGTGAGGAGAAAGGGGGGGATCACACTGTGATTGGGGGGTACCTCTCCTCTTCCTACTCAAGGCTGTCCCTTAAAGGCAGAGCTTCCAGGAAAGTTAAAGAGGCAAATGACCAGGAGGAAAAACAACTAATTGAACAACCTCAGGCAATAAAACAAGCTTTTACCTTTGCTTTTAGGGCTCTATGATTCAATGGGCCCATAACAAGTTAAGGAGGATCCCAGGCTCCCAGAGCTGGAAGCAACTGCCCCATTTTTACCTTCCTCCTTGGGAAAGCTGAGTGCCAATCAAACCTTCACCAGGTTGCTAGGGAGGGGTCTTTCCCCTTCGGCCCATTTGGCAACATTTACTACAAAACATACCTAGGCCTTTCAACCTGGCAATTACATGCCCGTGAATATACCCTGCAGAGACTTCAGAGGGAGGCAGGGATGTGCTCAAGGGTGTCTTCTAAGAATGCCTCAAAATGAAAAACTAATCCTATCTAGGGAACAGGTCACTTGTATGAGGTCATAGCCAAGAAATTCACCCTTTGGTTAAATGAAAAACACACTGCAAAACAACCTGTATGCAGCATGATGGCTCTAAAATCCCCTGTTATTACACACACAGAAGAAACTAGGGCGCTGTTACTACACATCACCCCAAAGGCAGGATCGTGAGCCACTCCTGCATCATCGATTATAGAGTTCTGGTATGTAAAGCACGTAAAAAAAAAAAACAACTTTTTTTTTTTTTACAATGAGCATCTATGGCTTTGTGAACAAGAGGAAACAAAATAGAAACCTAACCCAAACCTCCCACAGTCCCTCCCGCTTTATGCACATCTATTAAGTGGTCGTTTGTGAAAGTGGGTCCTGAGTCTGCTGGGACACCTCTGTCCCCAGACGCCAGTAAACTCAGAAAGAGCTAGGTGTCAGAAAGGAGACTGAAACTCTGAAGAAAGCCCAGCCACAATCTGTTGACACCAAGCTGCCCATACAGGCCTGGGCGGGGGCCCCAGGGGCTGGGCCGGGCCAGGCCAGACGGGCAACCTCAGAAAAAGGCTAAGAAAGGGCCCAGAGTCTGCGCAGAGGAGAGCCAGTTGGCCCCCAAGTTCACCTGTGCAGCCACATCCGGTGGCCACACCTGGAGTCTCAGGCGGGTGGCGGGGACTCACCTCTCGGATTTTGCGCCTCTTGCCAAACATGATCTTGTTATAAAGGTACTTCTCCCGCTTCTTCATCATCATGATGGCCAGGCGCTTGGCTTCATTCTCCTCCTCCTGGGCCAGCCTCTGCTTGTCCTCCAGCTTCACGGTACCTTCCATCACTCTGGGCCTCTGGGGACACAGGGCGGACACTTGTGGATGCTGGGTCCCCACACCCCCACCAGTCCCCTGGTTCTTGCCCTTCTGGGCCGAGGCTGGCACCAAAGATGGCCAGTGCGGCTGCTTCCCAGGCTGTGCCCCCCGTCAGCCACCCAGTACCTTCCCGTCCATCCTCTGCTCCTCCAGGGCTGTCAGCCGGGCCTCTTCTTCCTTTTCTGAACCAGCCTCCGCATCTTCTTCCTCATCCTCTTCATTTTCTCCCCCTTCATCACCATCACCATCATTGTCTTCCTCCTCATCCTCCTCTTCAGACTCACCCATATTTCCTATAAAAGGCCAATGACTTCTAAAAGCCCCAGGAGCCTCCCCTTCTCCCTGCAGACCAACAGCTGGGCCCAGCCACCACGCTCTTCAGCCACGAAGACATTCCAAAGAGAGTGCACGGCTGTCCCAACTGTGGCTCCTCCTGGCACCTCTCCCCACAGCCCCAGCTGCCTTCGGAGCAAACTCCAGGTCCCCAACCCTGAGCTCTGCCACCTCCTACGTAAATACCCATGACAACTTCCAGACCGCTCCTGCTTGGTCACTCTGAACATCAAGTGACAGCTGACTGTAGGACACACGTGTTCCCTTCTCCTAAGCCTGACTCCAAAGGCTGGTTTAAAGGGCTTTGTGGCCCTGCTGTCCCATTCTCAGGAGCTTGCCACCTTTGTAGCCAAGGAGGGAAACAATAAGGTGAGGCCAAAGCCAGCCCGGAAGAACCTATCCACCCCATCGCCTGGCCCGCTCACCTGGGTGCTCTCCCCGCTGCAGGGCCAACAGCTTCAGCTTCTCGGGAGGGACATAATCTCCTTCCTTCTCCGACACGAAGGGTGAGAGGTGTGGAGGCAGTTGCACTCCGGGGAAGTAGTCTGCCACGGGGAGGAGGAGCCGTGCATTCACACAGTCGAACACCCACTGGGGCTGCACATAGTACCTGGTGGCAGAGACAGGTCATGGAAGCAACCTGAAGCCCCTCTGCATCTGGGGCTGGAGACAGACCTCCGCCCCCAGAAACCCAAACAGACGGAGAAGGATGAGAGCCCTGCGGACCTACCTGCCGATAACAGGTGTCTGCTGCCCAGGCCGGTCCACGATCTGGTGGGTGATGCAAGAGTCTGTGACATCATATGTGGCCCCAATGCACAGAGACTGGTCCCAGGACACATTGCCCCCAAAGCTCCTACAGGCACAGGGGGAAAGCACA